CAGAGGTAGACTAATCGGGGGGGGGGCATGTTTAATTTAGAAGGAAATGGATCCCTATTTTTCCATAGCAGTTGGACGAAGATTAATTAGGGCCCTAAACAAATTCAATTAGGGCCAGAATCCGGTTTGATCGGCCATTCTCTTTTAAATGAAACATGATCCCGGATGAAGACCATTTCCACTCCAGAGTTGACGGATGTGTACCGCTAACCCAGCGTGTCAACTTGAGAAAAGTCGGTCAGCCCGAGTGAGGCAGAGCTAGCATGTGGTAATTGGAATAATTAGCAATCCGTATTTAGTGTAATTAGCAATCCGTAACTTGTATAATTGGGAATCCGTATTCCTTCGCAGACCTTGAAGTTGTCGACGGTCTTCGGCGCGACGTCGGACCAGAACTCAAACTCCATGTCGCCAGCTGCCCGAAACAACAGACCTCAGAGTGGGATCAAATCGCCTTTTCCAATCCCCATGATTTGTGTTGGAGGTCGCCGGAATCCGGCGACCTGTGGTACAAATCCGGCTGCCCGAAACGTAGAACCGCCACGTTTCATTGGGGCTGAGATTCCGGACTGTCGCGCCCAAGGATGACACGAAGCACCAGCCCTCAGAGAGTGGGAGCAAATTGCCTTTTTTAATCCCCTTTCTTTGCACTGGAGGTCGCCGGAATCCGGCGACCTGTGGTACAAATCCGTGGTGTCTCGACAAAGAGGATTTGCGATAACTCTGAGCTCTGGTTCGAGCGAGAGACGCCTTTCAATGGATTGGCAGCAGATCGACAAAGGGACCGAGCAGGGACCGAACGGTGAATCCGACGGGCGCACGTACATAATTTGACGGGCTCCAGTACAAATCTAGGGATCCGAAAAGACGATCAGGTCGCCCTCCGAGGGTGTCCGGGGCGGGACCCGTAGTGGAGATCGTCATGGTCTCCGCAGCATCCGCAGCGCTCGCGCTCTCAACCCCAACGAGCGACCCCGTAGCAACGCCGAACGCCGCGGCGGTGCAGAGACCAATAGCCTTGCGCCTTCCCTCAACCCCGGCCGAGGACATCACTGTCCTCTGCGCGGGCGACATCCCGAGGCGCGACGCGGAGCGCAGGGAGGGCATCATCGGGGTAGTGAACGCCATGGCCGAGCCGGCGATGCACGAGAGGCTGAAAAAACGCGGAAGGAAAGACATGTTTGCGTTGGCCCCCTGCGTAGGCTTGGATCTCGATTTTTGAAAATGAATTTTTGGCTGATTTTGGGGGTTTTACCATTTGTTTGACCAGTTTGACACCAAGATGGTTGACATGATGAGCCGGTGAAAATGGGCGTGGCCTTTCGACGTTGGGGGACATCGCTCCGGCGGCGGAGGTCGGATCCCAGCGATTTTTGGCTCGCTGCATGCGTCTCGGTGCGGCGCGTCGGCTGGCGGCGGTCGGCGCCGCGTGCGCGGCGCGGGCGTCGACGGGCCGCTGGACTCGGGAACGGCTCTTCGCCAAGGGGCAGACCCGCTCAACGAGCGCCC